TTTTTTTTTCTACCCCGCAGGGGACTAGAAAAAAGAAATAACAAAAAAAATAAAAGAGATAGAGGAATACATGAAGCCTCAACGACTAGTAGATGAGTACTTTATTTACAATAATTCTACCACGAACACCCTGCGTTTATAATAACATAACTAAATAGTTTATTATAAATGAAGACATAGTCTGAACCATTTCGATAAGGAATGGAAATAAGAGATAAAGAGCTCTTATGATAACAAAATTGTCCACGGATTAATAACAGCAGTCCCTACCAATTCTTTTATGTCATTGGATAATCAATTTAGTGTAAAAAAAAATTCAGTTCTTACTTTAAAATCAAATAAAAAATTAATTCATTTAGATAAGAATTTTATTGATTGATTAGTAGGGTTTACGGACGCTGAAGGTAATTTTAATATTAGTTTAAAAGGTTTACAGGGTAATAAGTATAATAGTTTAAATTTAACTTACCAAATTACTCTGCATATAAATGATTTGTATGTTTTAGAATATATTAGAAACAGATTAAATTGTGGAAGTATTTCTAAATCAGGTGATAAATGTAATTATTTTGTAAATGATCAAAAATCACTAATAAATGTTATAGTACCTATATTTAATTATAGAGAATTAAAGAGTTCTAAATTCTTTCAATATTTGAATTTTAAAAAAGCAGTTCATCTATTAATAGATAAAAACCATTTAACTCTTAAAGGTAAAATAGATATCTTACAATACTATCATGATATGAAACTTATAAATCAAAACTCTAAAGCTAGAGAAAATATGATTATAGATGAGTACTGATTAATAGGATTCACAGAAGGAGATGCGACTTTTAGTTCAAATAAATTAAAACCAAAAATAAAGTATGAAAATCATATAAAAGAATTACAATTATTTAAAAGTATTTTAAATTACTTAAAACATGGTAATTTATATACATCCGATAGAAAGTCAGCTGGTTCTGTTATATTAGAAATTAATAATATTAATATTTTAATGAACAGAATAATACCTATTTTTTCTAAAGGTATGTTGACTAAAAAATCTTTAGATTTTGAAGATTGATCTATCATAGTTAAAATTACTTATTATGGGTACCATACTTTAGATGAAGGTAAAGAATTAATTCATCTCATTAAAGCTAATATGAATAATTTTAGATTAAACCCTGATTTTCTTACAAACTATGATCAAAATAAAGCGTTAATTGAGCAAAAGCTAAATTATCTATTATCGTTGCCAAGCCCTTATGAAGTAAAAGAGGGAATTTTATTTTTAAGAGGTACTGATAAATTAGTGTCGAAATTTTTTAAAATAAAAGTAGAAAATACTAATGGTAAGATACAATATTTTACTAGTATATCAGAGTGTAGCTTAACTCTTAACATACCTAGTAAAATAATTAAAAATTGTTTATTATCAGGTCTTCAGCATAAAAATTACACAATTAAATTTGATACCATTATTGAATAGAGTTGACAGAAAACAGGAGAAATTGCATGAAACTTCTACTTCACCATTTATATGTGTTTATGTAGGACAATATGCAGCCAAGCATATATTAAATAAAATTAAAAGGAATATATGAAGGTTCAACGACTAGTAGGTGAGTACTTTATTTACAATAAGCCTACCACGAAACCCTGCAATCATTTATTGATTGATGACATAGTCTGAACCCTTTTGAAAAAAAAGGGAGGTAAGGGATAAGGAGCCCTTACGATAACAATAATTGTACATGTTATGATTGGTACAGCATTTTTAGCTGTTGGTTTATGACGTGTATTAGCATATCATTTAAATACAAAGTGTTTAATAAACCCCTTAAGACTACGTTTTAATACAAAACGTATAGGATTTAAACAAACATATCGTTTATATTCAACTAAAACTAGAACTTCTAACTTGCCTCTAAATAATGAAAAAAATTATTTAGATCCTTGGTTCGTAACTGGGTTTTCTGATGCTGAAGGTTGTTTTATGATTAGTATAAGAGAAAATCCTGCTAGTAAGTTAGGTTGATCGGTGGTGGTTTGTTTTCAAATTTCACTACATGTTAAAGATAGGGCAATACTAAATTCTATAGAAGCGTTTTTTGGAGGAATCGGATTAAATAAGCAAGGTAAAAATAAATGAACTTTGGTGGTTTTTTCTTTAAATGATCTTCAGAAAATCATTGAACACTTTGATAATTACCCCTTGATTACCCAAAAACACGGTGACTATTTATTATTTCGTGAAGCAGTTCTCTTGATACTTAGAAAAGAACATTTAACTTTGGCAGGTTTAGAAAAAATTGTAGCAATTAAAGCATCAATGAACCTAGGGTTGTCCAAAAAATTGGAACAGGCATTTCCTAATATAATCCCTAAAACTAGACCTCTTATCTGTACAACAGAAATACCAAACCCTTTCTGGGTAGCAGGTTTTACTTCGGGAGAAGGATGTTTTTTCTTTAATATTGGTAAAGATACCAAGAGTAAATTAGGATATAGAGTGAGGGTTGGATTTCAATTAACTCAACATGTTAGGGATAGGCAGATGCTTACTCTTTTAGAAAAATACTTTGGTTGTGGTAAGTATTACCTTTCCAAAGACCATCGGCATGGTGATTATTTAGTTTCTGACGTCTCTGCCCTTGCTAACTATATTATACCTTTTTTCTCACAATATAAAATAGTAGGTATAAAAGAAAAAGATTATCTTTGTTGAAGTAAAACTATTCATTTAATTATAGCCAAAAAACATTTGACTCCTGAAGGTTTAGACCAAATACGTAAAATTAGAGAAAATATGAATACAAAGAGGGTTTTAGTGGATTCAGATTCAGCTACCTTGGAAGTAGGCAAAAACATAATTCCAAATGTCGACACCACTAAAAGGGGGCGAGTTAAACCTATAATTGTACAAGAGGTTAAATCAGGTAAAACCTTTAATTTTAATAGTGTTAGAGAGGCATACCTTGGTTTACAAGATAAAGTACCTATGACTACTATTAATAGGTATTTAGATACCGGTAAACCAGTAAGGGGTTATATCTTTTTTAATCTAAACAAAAAAAGTTAATTTTTGTTTGTTCTATTTGCAGGTTCGTACAAGGGGTCTCGAAAAGGAAGAGTTCGTTAAATTCGGGTTATTATATTTGTAGGGCTGTGTGAGCAGACAGCTTGAAGGTGGTTTATCGCCAAACTCCGGGAACGCCCTAATAGCCTTGTTAACCAAACATTGGGTGAAAAGTCTCAATGCGGCTTGCAGTAATGTGTAAGGTAAGGTAATATTAACAAGGATATCTTGAAAAAGTAATGGGTAATCGCGGATCTAACATTGGGAAACCAGTAAAAGAGCAACGAGCATACGGTGATACTCTTAAATGAGTAAGATGTGCTCTAGTTGCCCTTGAAAAAGGGCGCCAACTTATAACAAGCTATGGTACTACGGTAACGTCGCTTTTGAGACTATCTTAAGTAAGGTCGAAGTATAAGATTGGCTTAATAAAATACGTCAGCTCAGCCTAATGCATTGTTTTTATAGGCAAAGGCTAAAGACATAAAACCGCTAACAAATAACCATCATCTAGGATTAGAAGCCGGAATACTTTACTGACATTTTGTTGATGTTGTATGATTATTCTTATTTGTATCTATATATTATTGAGGATCTTAATGTTTAACAGGTTTTTACAATAAACATGTTATGAAAACTGTTCGCTTGTGTTTAAAATACATTGGGCAAAACTATAACAAATTCCAATAGATAAATATTTTTTGCTGGAAGATTGCAAGATAGATTTATATTTATAGCAATCGGGCAGAAGATGAACTTAGGTCTGGTAAAGACTTATATCTTTCCCCGTATTGGGGGAGGAAAAATAAAAAGAGAATGAAAGGGATTCACCCCATTAGGATAGCATTCGGCTTTTTTTAGTTTATAAAAAGAACAAGGTTAAGTGTTCAAATCACTTATTTCTCATTATTCTTTAAGTATATGTAATCATTCTAAAATATACTTTATATGCTATTTAATATTACAAAATAATAGCAATCTATTAAGAATGTACAATGTTTTTAATTAAACTTATAATTTTCATTGCTTTGCCCTAATTTATACCAATAATTCATAATAACATTCTATGTTAAACATATTCAAAAATAAAAAAAATAATTTTAATGATAAATCATTAAATACTAACTATATTATAGAAAAAAGTAATAAAATACAAAGTAATTCTGAAAGAGATGAATATAATAATATTATTTTTCACCATTCTTCTAGTAAAGAATGATTAAGTAGTGTATACTCTTACAATAAATCCTACTTAAAATCTTTAATAAGTAAAGATGCAGTATTAAATACATTACTTAGAAGTTATTGTAATATGTTACAAGATAAAATAAAAATTCTCTTTAAACGTAGACGTGATAACAAGATTCGTTATTCAGCAAATAAAATCTATGCAAGTAGAGCTGAGCTAAAACATACTAACACTAAACTTTTTATTACGTTGTATTTATACAATAAACAAAAATCATCTATTGAGTGATATTTATTAAAAATTCTTGTACTTGTAAAATATAGAAAATTAATAGTTGATGGAGATAAAATATTTTTGGATGGAGGTCTAATAGCCAACGGATCTAAAATATTTTCGGAATATCTTACACCTACAAGATTAGAAGATTTTAGACTATTTTTAGCTGAAAATCTGATGGTTGGTGGAAAAAAAATCTTTTTAGAGGATCGTTCAGAAAAATATTTTACACCTACAAGATTAAAAACTATTAGATGAGTTAATTTTTATAAAAATAAAATAAAAAGAGGATTTGTACCAAACCATAAAAACAGAATACCTTCCTTATTAAAGAATAACTTTTTCATATTTAGAAAATGAAATATGGCTTTCTTTAAAACAAATAACAACTTAATTAGATACTTCCTAGTAAATTTAAGAAGAAAATACCTTAAATTAAGTAATATACCTACTTATAACATTAGACTTTTAAAAAAATTAGTTAGATTACAAAAAATATTATTTAATTCATTAAAATTGCTTAATTTTAATAAATCTAAATTTAATAGCTTAAACCTAAACTTAAGAAATTTTGGTTTAATTAGTTTAATTGAAAAATTGTATAACAAAAAGGTAGAAATTAATTTAGTTGAATTAAGATCTATACATTTAAACAGTGACGTTTTTTCATCAGCAGTAGCTCTAAAATTAAGAGATAGGAAAAATAAAGCAGTAAGAGTTTTAAGAAAAGCTATCTTACAAATGGTAAGAATACCTGATTTACATACACTTATAACATTCGATGATAATATTGAAGCAATGAATAAAAACAATATTATAAACACTATAAAACAACAAGTAGTAAGTGGTGTAAGATTTGAAGCATCAGGTAGATTAACAAGACGTTTAACAGCTATGAGAGCAGTATTTAAGTATAGATATGCAGGTAGCTTAAAAAACATACGTTCCTCATTTAATAATAAATCATCTACTATGCTAAGAGGTTACGCTAAATCTAATGTACAGTATACCCTTATTAATTCTAAGACAAGAAATGGTACTTTTGGGTTAAAGGGTTGAGTTAGCAGTCATTAATTAATGCTAACTAGATTTTTCACATTTTATAGAACAATATATTTACTTAATATTGTGTATATCTTTATATACCTACAGCTATATTAGTTGTATTTTTATCTAGTCCCTGATGGGTAGAAAAAAGAACATGTTCTTTTTTTTTCAACCCTTTTTTTATTTTTTTCGACGTAATTTCGAGTCTTCGAATTTACTAAAAAAAGATAAGAGGACTAGTAGTAATTATAAAATATAAAAGTATAAAATTACTACTTCTATGCCGAAAAAAAGGATAGACCGCAACAGATGTCCATTATCTGTTGGAAGGCATATAATTTATTTCCATCATATAAATTTTAATATAGATATAATTTCCATGATATAATCTTTTATATACATATATTTACTTTCTTTTCTATTATAGGATCTATGTTAATATTATACTTATAATATTTAGAAAAAATATTAGAAAAGTTACTTAAAAAAATATAAAAAAGCTATACTATAATAAATTATACGCATCCAAAAAATTTTTGTTGTAGTATTATATTTAAAATATTACACATTTAAATTTATAAAAATATATCTATTTATTAACATATATTTATTTAATTTACAAAAAAGGTATATTACAAGGCATTTTCACACTTTGTTAATCTTAATCCATCTCAGGATTTAGCTTATTAAATAACGCCCTCTTTCGATTTATTACATATCCCTTTGTTGGGGGCTATTGGAGTACACCTTACACTATTACACTATCCCCCATACGTATTCGAATTTTTTCAAGCAATTCAGGACTGTGTGTTTTATTTAAGAAATAAGGATTTTCCGTTCTTATTTTACTCATTAACTTTTTAGTTGCTTCCGTATGTTTAGAGCCTGCTCTAGGTTTACTAGTAATTGGATCTATATTATACTTATTTATGTAAAGATCTAAATACTTTTGTTCTAGTTCAATTCAATTTGCATAATGTTCAGCTTGTGAGTTATAAACTAGCTCTGAATTATTTACAGGTAATATATCTAAAATAAAGTAAAATTATTTAAGCCATGTTTTTTTAAAGCATTTTGCAAATAGATATTAGAGTTTCGATTTTTTTTTCCAGATGTTCTACCGTTCTTGTAGATAAATTAATAGAACTACCTACATATATTTTGCTAGTATTATTATACTTAAATGCGTATATACCACTTAAAGAGTTTAAATCCTTGTTTAATAGTTCTATTGTAGATTATTCGTGAAGATTTGTATAATTTCTCAAAGGAGTTGGATCTCCATTTTCCTCCTCAGTAGGTGGTGAACTTTTTGTTGTAAAAGTAGCTATACGTAGATAAAAATACATTAAAGTAAAGGTATATTAACAGGCATTATTTCAAAGCTGTATAATATACATGGGACTAGTATAATAAATGCAATTACTATTGGTAACAGAACAGTTCAACAGTAGGACATAAGTTGGTCGTAACGTATACGTGGGAATGAGGCTCTCGCTCAGATAAATACAAATACCATTATACAAGTTTTAAGACCTATTACCACACCACTTATAGTTGTTCCTATTACTGAATTGTAATTATCAAAGTCAATTACATTAAAATTAGTTTCATTTTCTGTTAAATACATATAACTATCTCCTGCAATAAATTGCAGTAAATAAAAGTAAGGATATAGATAATAGTTAAAGTCAAACAGATAACCACCTAAAAATAAAATACTATTTAAAATACAAATAAGAATTATACTAGCATATTCAGCTAAAAAGAAGAATACAAAAATAACAGCGGAATGCTCTGTCATAAACCCACTAACTAGTTCTGATTCCAATAAAAAAAAAAA